CTTTAATCTGAATTTTTTAAATGCACACAGATGTGTCATCGAGAGTGATCTAAGATTTAAGCGTTACAGATTTGTCTTCCTTTTAAAAAATGAGAATCAGTCTAAAGATTTTCCTTATACCTGATATAAACTATCAATTTCGCTACTTTATTCGCACATCACATCTGTAAGAAAAACTTTTTTTTTACCATGTAGTATTTTTTATACAGACTCTATTCGTGTTCCACAATTATATTCGTATCATAAAACATAAATGTATAATACTCTTTAATATTTAATTATCGGATAAACTGCCAATGCCATAATAAAATGATTAAAATTATTTTGCTTTGAGTCAGGGTGAACCATCAAGTGACAGATAAATTATGCTAGAGCAGATCGATGTAGTTATTGATTATCAATAAGATAATAACTTCAGTGAATATATATTGTGCTTGCACTGGAGTGACGCTGAGTTGAGGATTCGTCATATATCTTGTTTCTCAAAGAACAAGCTTTTCTGTTGTCAAACAATCGTCATCGTAGATTTCGATCTAGCATGCTGAATGATTCTTTTCTCTTCACGTGTCTCAGAGTGCAACAATATTGTGCATTAATTTCTCTTATATATTATATATGACATGACATTTTCCAGAAAAATGCATATAAATAAAAATATACATAAATAAGCAATTATATCACTGATGTTATTATATTTTTGATAAAATATGTAGGAATATTTTTATAAGTTTTATATGTGTCAATTGAAAAACTGCCTCCATCTGCTCGTTACTTCACAACTACATGATTATAGTTTAAATTTATTTTCGCTATTTGTGTCTCGCAATCTCAAGCTATTCAACACATTAAATTCAACTTCAGTTCAATCACTTAACATAAGAGCAAGGATCCCCATTACCCCATTATAAATAGTGAATAAATCTTTTACTTCGATTTATTATTGATTTCACGTTCATCCGAAGTTAAAGATTATATCTTGCACTATGCTGCACAACGCGAACATCACGGATATCATTTTAAGAAAGAGTGCAGTTGGAATGAAGAAACAGCATGATTTATATAAAGATTCCACCATCGAATATTAATTTTCGATTTTACAAAGATTAGCATGTAGAAATAATGTTCATCAAGCTATTCAATATTGCAGTATTCTATGACAAACTTATGTAGAATTATTTGAAGAAATTATGTTTTCAATTAATTTTTTGATACAATTGACAACGTCAAAAGTGTTGACCTCTTTTATTGCTTCTTGTAACAACATACAATATGGAGTCGAGAGGAACCTTGAGTGGTATGCATGAGTCGAATATCTCTAGTCAGACGTTATTTAATAGTGTTGTAATTTGCTCCCATGCACATCACACCTCCAGACTTCACTCATGCAGCAAAATGCGCTTTTTTTTTCAATTATTTCTTTTAATATTATTATATAAAAAAATCTATTTCTATTGACTTTTAAGCTCTTTGCCAATACTGTACGACACAATTTTGTTCCAGTCAATTTTTGTTCGCATTACTGGCAGTTGCCTTCGCAGTGCCTTAAAGGTAGTGTCAGACATTGTTTGATAGTTTTCGGAAATTGCCGTTTGATAATCGTTTTCGGATTCCTCGACAAACCGTATTAAATCCTTTGCCGTTTGTTTTTCGTTGGAGATTGGGAGGCTCTCCTTTACGTCTTTGCTACTGACCAATTGTACATTTCCATCCTCGTAATAATGTACTTGTACTTTGAGACTACCTCTCAGTTCGGCGTTACCCGAATTTGGGGTGAAACTGACGGTCCACACTGAACGCCAACGGCCATTCCAAAAATTTTTAGGTTGAAACTGATGATCTTCTATGCACGCCGTTAATGTTATGTTTCCTACATAAAAATCAAACATAAAAATCATATATGACATTTTGATTTACTTAAACAATTGATCAGTAATTACCTCCAAGGGATTTTCCAAAAACTGAGCAAGCACCATGTCTATAATGATTTTGAGTATAGTTCGTTATTTCTTCTTGAAGGGCTGATCTCCAAGGTTCCGCTATGGGATCTGGTTCATAAGACTCATAATCTTGGGCCTCCTTCCTCAAATGATCATATTTAAAACTTTGCTTACTCCGCGCATCATAAAACCTTTGAGAACCCAAATCATTGTGTTCTGTTATGAGCGCTGGATGATCACTTCCTTCTATCTATATAGAGAAAAAAGAAAAGAACTTCAATATATCATTTATTTTACATATCTATTCTTCTGAATTAATTTACTAATGGTACGCATTTATACTATTTGAAAAATGAAACATAGATGTAAATCTAGAATTTATATTCTAAAATGAACTATAAATAAAAGGAGAGATACTAAAAAGGCATTGCTTCTGGGCATTGCGCACAAGCGATATCTAACCTTTGCTGAATTATGATAGTTTCTAAAATATACCGACGTCAAGATAACATTTTATTATAAAAAGGAGAAGGAGAAAAGAAACAGCTTTCATTCATACATTAGAGATTATCAGAGAACAGACGTGATGTTCCACTTTTAGCTTAGGATATCAAATTTCTATAACCTGCTCGAGAAGTTATACCGAATGTTCGAGCCGGTGGCGTGAGAAACGGAGGGAGATGTCGTCGCGTGGCGATGCCTGAAGCCGGAGCCAACGTCACCCGCGCACGGATTCCCGGAGGATTCGATGATGCGAAACGGATAGAGAGAGAGAGAGAGAGAACGCGTGTAAGGTCACCGTGGTCGCGCCTCGCGGGCTTTCGGAATCGATAGGCACATTTAAAAGGAAACGAGGACGAACGTGCGAAAGGGCGCCAAGGGCGCGAGCCGCGTACCCCGCGAGTCAAGCTGCGGAGGGAGACCAAGTACGCGACACCGCCGACGGCCACCTATAGTGATGATGATGATGTTGATGACGATGACGACGACGACGACGACGACGGCGGCAGCGATGATGATATGTACCTTAACAGGCGTGAGCTGGTCCTTGTTGTACTGAGCGAAGGCCCCGGACGCGCCCTCCTTCAACAGGTTGTCGTTGTTCAGCAGGACCCTCACGTCGTTGAACACCTCGTTGAACTCGCCCGGCGGCGAGTGCAATATAAAATCCGAGACTATTCGCACTTTTTCCTGATCCGGAATCACCGCATCTCCGTCCGCCGCCATCTTACCTTTCCCACTGGCACGCACACTCCGCCGCCACCGCCGCTACCACCACCGTCGCCGCCACCACCGCCACCACCACCGCCACCACCGTCAGCGATGTCAAAAGCGAGGGTACGGTATGGTGGTCACGGACGAGGTCAGGTTGTGTTGGATCTCTCCTCTGGATCGCGTCTCGTGTCTCGTGTCGTGGTACCGCTGACAGCGGTGCCGAGTATACCGGGTGACACGGTTAGATCTGTCTTTCCTTCCTCTCTTCCTTCTTTCATTTCTTTTTCTCTCCTTTCAGATTCCATTTTCTGGAAGCAGCACGTAATTTCCGCACGTTTGAATTTTTCCGCGCATTTCGATATATTATTCTCCTTCCCTCGTTCGCGTTTCCATGGAAAAACATGCTTGCCTGTTGCCGAAAAACTTTCTGTCGGTTAATTGGACATCATAACGCGAAAACTAATTGAACCTTTTAGCAACAATCTCGGATAAGTTTTATTTAGAAAATTTGGCAAATTTTACGTCGACACAACCTCTTGTTTTTGTGTATACTTGTGATATAAATTTTTCTCATTTAGTTTCGCTTTAATTTTCTGAATTTATCATTTTTATAACAGCCACTCACTCTGATTATTTGGAAAGAGTAATACTGAATAATTTTACATTTAGAGAAAGAGAAGGAGAGAAAGAAGAAAAATGAAATAATTTTCCTTTCAGATACTGCGTATTTTCTTTTCCATCCATCTTTTACTCATTAAATTCCTCTACTTTTCCAATATTTTTTCACAATATTTCCTGCTGCTTTTCAAACTTTATATCATGGAGATGATTCACATCGAGTGAGGATGAATCACACCCTTGGAAAAATCCTTCTCAGGCAAAACAGATAGCATGCGGTGTTTATCTGGAATCTGGCAATGATAACCAGTGATAATTGTCATTGTGCTCAGCATATATTATTCTCAAACGAGCTCGTTATCTTTCTATCTATAACGTAGAATAATATGATAAAAAATAATACTACGTTATCATATCATTGTATTCTACGTTTATTTTTTATTTTATAGAAAAATAATATATTATTGCTTAATAATACTTTGTAATAATTATTCGACACAATCTCTCGATTTGATTATCATTCAAGTACATTTATCTCTGCTATTTATGCAAACGTCAGTACAGTCTCTTTGACATTCCTCTCGCGGAAAGGGAAAAAACGCAGAAACATTTGCATGGATTGCAGTTTTCATTGGTGAATCGTCGTTTATTACCGACGAAATTAGCGTAGAATCGCAAAACGTCGATCACTCGAATTCTCTTGTCCGTAAATCGGTAATGGAACAAAATCGACTAGGTACGTTTAATTATTCTCGTGCAAATGATACGACGCTTGGAGAAATAATCGTGTTGTTCCAACGAGGATAGCGCGAAAGATAACTTGTAAATGTAAATGCAAATTTTGAGAAAACTTGAGGAACGACGATCTGACAGAAGGATTGTTTTTACCTCTCTCTATTTCCTTTCATATTGTTTGTTCTTATTCCTTTCTCGGAATGTTTCGCGAAGAAATTGTATTAATTCCAAGTCGCGTATCAAATTTTCAGCATCTGTGTGCCAATCAACGACGTTCCGAGATTTTGAACGATATTCCTTGTCATTTTTGAGACACATCAGATCGGAATTGAAAAAAATGGCAGACGATCCGAACCGTGACATCTTGCCCGTAAAGGAAGGCTCCTGTAGCGCGGATACGATCATCAGTGTCATAGGTTTGTCCATTTGTATCTATCACAATTAGTTAAGTAATTTATAGCCACTAGTTAGTTAATAATTTATAGCCAATTGTTCGATGCTCCTGATTATGATTTGTAGCCACATTTCCTATATGATTGCTTCAAACATGAGCTTAAATCTTTCCCTGCGTGATGTTATACAATTGAAATTGATGATAATATTATGCAAATTTTTATTTTATTTTATTTTATTTATTCTATCTTGTTATATTTAGTCTTTTTTATTTTCTGTGCGATGACGTGTAATGTATGAATAATTTTTATATATCGAAAGATCCTAGGGAACGTCATCTCGTTTGCAAGCTCGATCGCTATCAACTGGAGGACAAGTATCTACGTTTACTCGATGAAGTGAGTAATCTGAAGAAATTGTCCAATTGTCAGGAAGACAAGATTAAACGACTGGGCACAAAGCTGATTAGACTGGCTAATAATTCGAGAGCATACGGATTAGCATTAGATATCGCCGACGATAGGAATAGAACGGCCGCTTTGGAGCTCGAAAATACCAAGGTAGACTGCTTCAAGTAACGGCGATTCTTTTTTCTTCTATGTGTCTATATGCACGACACGATAACGGGATTCTTCCACGGGATTCTTCGGGAAGAACAAAGTCCATATTCCATCTGTATAGCATGGATATTATTAGATTATATTACAATATCTTTTTAGCGAAATTAATATACGTGCGAAAGACTATGTGATTTAATTCTAACACATGGATATTCTGATATATTAATTCAAATATTGTTTCAGCTGAAGGAGAAAATCGCCGTGATGAGGAATCAATTGTTGAGTCACACGATGAGCGGTAGGTCGTCGTCGCGCAGCCGTAATCTCGTTAGGCCATCGTCTTCCGGGCTCGTGTAAGTATATGTGGCTATGATGCGTACACGTGTGTGCTATGATTCATTATACCGCGGCGCATTGAAATACTGAATCCGACTCCCTTTAGGACGTGCCGAAGTGAGAACAACCGCGTGAGAGTACCACCCTGTCAGTGCAGGATCGCAGCAGGTGACGATGATAACGACATGCAAAATTACCTCATTAAAATCGAGGTAAAACTAGCTTGAATAAATCCGAGATGTTCACACACATGTTCGCACATTATTCTATTTTATATCGTCGTTACATTATTGTCGCACAGCACATTGTCGTATTTCGTGAACAGATAAAAATGAATTTGTAAAATGAATTTGAAATATGAAATACAAGAGATATAAAATATTGTTGTACAAGCTCCATTGCATGATATTATGTCCGGGTGATTACACAGCTTCGCGAATACTTGCATGCTTGCTCGTTATTAATGTTATGCGCCATAATTTCTACTTAGCGTCTGACTTTTGTTCGCAGAAATTGGAGGCACAAAAGAAAGATATGGCATGTCGTATAGCAGAATTAGAGAAAGAGCTGGAACATTTAACTAATAATCAGAGGGAGAAGGTGGCGGAAAATGTAGAATATATACGAGTGTGGCGACAAATGAAACAGCTGAACGATAAATTAATAACGAGTCAAGAGAAGAATACCGAACTGACTGCTGAAATTAACGATTTGAAGACAACCATTGAACAAACGACGAGGTAGACTCATTATCACTTTCTATCTTCTTTAATACATATAATCGCATTAATTTGAAAACTTATTATTTTATTAGGAATAATCAGGAGATTGCAGCTGTTCTTAGCTCGGAGAGAACACGCATAGCCGAGATCGATGATCAAATGTTGAAAGCGAAGACCTCACAATTTAACTTACGCGAGAAAGACGAACAAATACGAGATCTTATGAATGAAATTAAAATATTACAACAGCATAATAACGAACTTATCACGCTTACCTCGAAATATGGGCAAGTTGAATTGGAGAATGTTGAATTAAAAAAAAGATTTACTAATGATGCTCACGATCAGCAGACTTTAAAAATTGCGTTTAACAATGAGCAAGCTAATATTGCAATGTTAAAAGCTACAAATGAGAGATTACTTGCAAAATTTCAAGAATTGCAAGTAAACATTGATACATTAACAGTACAATTAGCGGTTAGTATACATGCTATTTATACTTTAGAAATTATTTAATGCTTGACTAATTTCCTGTATTACGATACTTGCAGTCTTTTCGTACGCAAAATAAAAAACGCGATACAATAACGATATCATCGGATGTGGAACAATGCAAGAAATGTTGCGAAATGTATGATAAAATTACACAGCTGGAGAAAACCGTCAGTAACACTCGTGAAAATTGGCAATTGGTGGATAAATCAGTGCAGACGATGATTGTTAAGGTTAACATAAAGGAGCAGAGTACAATGACAATGTCAAATAATGAGGGCAAGGCATCGTTGCAGTCGCCGTTGAAGGAATGGAAATATCAGGAAGCAAATGGCACAAATGTTTTATCCCGAGAAAAAATACTAAAGCTGTTAGATCAGGCACAAATTAACACACCTTTGGATGCGTCGAAGATCGCTTCGAAAGAAGAATACGCGAACATTTTGGACGTAGCTCAGAGGCACAGGCAAGTCGTACCTCTCGAGAAGCTACTCTTCGGTGATTCTAATTGTTGACAGAGACTCTACTGTTCGGTACTAATAGTAAATATATATTTTATAAATATAGCATTTTTAATGTTATATAGTAAGTACAAACTTCTCATGAGAAAATTGATTAAATATTGTGTCTATGCTCTTGTTATATTTATATATATATGCTTATATATTTTGAGTGACGTATGTTTATTTTTTAATCAGATTTTTTTCTACAAATTCCTTTTATTTAATAATTGTAATTAGTATTTTATGTTTTACACTTCTTGTGCCGTAAAGTAAATTAATTACTTTATATTATAAAAAGCCTCGTGTGTTCACAAGTCTACGAAACAAATTTTTTGACGTTATAAAATATAGGACATTACATATATTTTATATATCCTATTTATTTTAAAAAGTGTACAATTGTAATAACTTTTTGTACAACATGTGCTATTATAATATGACAGTTCTATAACGATTATATATTTAACTTAGTTTTGTCTTTTATATCTTTTAATAATATTGATAGTAAAAAATTAGAAAATGATTATGTATTATAATATCATTAATATCTATTACAGCGAAAAGGAAGTGTCCTCTCAATATGATGGATCACATCTTGTACAGGAGAACTTACAAAAGAGACTGATGTATTTGAAAAATTCGAATACAACATTAGGTCAAATGTTATTGATTTTATTTGATGTTTTGCAAGAATTTATACTGTTTATTGATGTCGACGAAAAACAATCTCTTAACCATCAACTATCTGCAAATAAGGATCTCCTAATTGACGTTAACAATAATATTTCTAATTTGATAACCACCAGCAATATTAAACAAAATCATTTTACTGAAACAACAAAAGATTTTGGTAATAATTATTATATCATGATAATCTGAGATTTTATCATAAATGACAAAGTTAAAAATTGTTTAAAATCGAAACCTCGTTGCATGGCCTGTGCTTTTCAATCAGCTACTTCTGAAAATTGTGATCCAGCATGCGAAACAAAATCTGCAAATATCTCAACGAGAAATATTGATTCATCGATAAAAGACATGTTTGATGTTTTTTCCTTTCCTACGATTCACGAAAACTACAGAAAATTATCGTATCGAGATATCAGTAAAGATTTTTGCGTAAGCAACTGCAATGATTTTCTATGTCAAGTATCAAATTATAATATGTAACATTAATGGTTTTATTTAGGCAGAAAAAATGATAAAGCTAAAAAGATTAAAATCACCGCGTTATCCTAGATGTAATTTGACATGTCATTTGCGCAAAGCAAAGGATCCACTGTCCTTGCAGGAGAAGCAAAAGTTACACTGCAAAGTCAAACATTTAGACAGCGTGAAGTTACCATTATGCTCAGCCGAATCTTTCCCTTTATTAATTACTGACAAGCAAGGTCTCGTTGAGATTCATATTTCGCGACTGCAGCTTTCTACATCGGTTAGTAAATGAAGTCTGATAAAGACTTTGTATATAATATATACGAATTAAAATAAGTTATTAATTAGAATAAGTTTTTATAATTAATCATTTTATTTTTTATTGGTAAATTTCTCTTTATTTACTTGAATATTATTATCTTATATTGTCTTTTTCTTTCATGAAACAAAATCACATTTTAATATTATAATTCCATAAAAAACTCATTAACAGATAGATCATTTTTCATCAAATATTGATTTGTCTAATAGTCAATTATTTATTTTTTATTTCAAAAAACATGATTTTAGTATATTTGTTGAGATTATTAGGTCGCAAGAATCCCGGACGAAGAAGACATATGTATATGTCACGTTTATGTCAGCTGGGACGTTTGGGGTGAGAAGACCGCTTATACTCCAAGAATGAAGTGTCCAAATTTAATTTTCAATTCGTCCTCTGTATATCACATAACGGATCTCTTCTCTTTTTTCAAAAATGTGCTATCGGAATATCTTATCTTCCGAGTGAACATTATTCGTCAAGATAATACCAGCTATACTTTTGCCCGAGCAAAGGTTTCCATCAAGGATATTTTGGACTATCCACAGAATAAATTGCATTATATCGTTCCCGTAAACAGCGTCATTTCTTCTTTCTTCGGCATGAATTTTGGTCAACTGTCGCTATGGGTTCGGTTAAGTTGCAACGTGGACATGGTTGAAGCCTTTAAGAAGCAATGCGGCTTAAATTCGTTGAAAGATATTCATTACGTGCCTTCAGCAGAAAAGGACATAATTGATAAAGCTAAGGAAATTCCTTCTGAATGGCCTCCGAAACAAATAATTGATGTGGTGCCATTTAACAATCAGCAATTAAAAGATGATTTGGTATCCAAAGATTCAACGGCTCGAGACATCCAACCTAATGGTTAGACTCAAGTAACTTTTGCAATTGTATAATCAAAATTATATGCCGTTAACAACAGAAACAATAATTAATATACAAATATTACATTTTGATGAATTAATCCAATTTTACAAATATTATATCTCGAGGAATTAAAATTTTTTATTAAATTATTAATTAAATATGCGTATGGAAAAACATTCGATTAGAAAACTAACGTCAAGTTATCGAAACTAGATTCAGATTTCCAATACTGGGCGGTTTTCGATACTGAAAATTCGGATGAAAACGATAAAGAATTATCTTTGCGCATCAACAAGATAAAAGAAACTGAAGAAGAAATTGCAGTACAAAAGTAGGATTTCTTCGCTTTTGTTGTGTTTTCTTAATTTTAACTTTAATTTCGTAATTCAAAAAAGTTGTGTAAAACTTTAATTAGTTCAGATTCTGAAGAAATTCTGGATAAAAGTAAGGAAAGAGAGGAAAATAATGCAACGACGGATTCACCGAGCATGATCGAGTTTAGGACACTACTCGCGAATGTAAGATACGTTAAGCAATGTTATGATAAAAGTTCACGCGATTATATGAGATAGTAAGAGATATGAAATAGTAAGAGCGTTCTATGAAAATTATCGAGATTCCGGATGTATTCAGGGCACTTCGTTGCTCAAAGGAACAACCAGCTCGATATTCGACATGAGCGAAATTCTCTCGGATATAAACTGGGAGAAGTACAAGCAGAGGAGTCTGCTGATTTTTGCTGGTACAATTAGTAATTAATTATGTTTGCATTCATACATATCAATTGAATAACATTGCTCGGTACTAAAATAAAGTCGCCCAAAAACACTTGCAGGAGATAAGTCGTTAAACATGGACGCGCAGGATTACCGAAATGACATCTCTACTCGCGTACGAAACTGTCCTATTAGTTGTATTTGAGATGCTCCACGAAGAGTGCTGGATTATAATTATAAATTTTTTTAGTTATTTAAATGATTATGAAAATTAAATGGATCCAACAAATTAAACTTTAGTCTAACTAATTTTAATTTTTATCCAATTTTTCATTAAGTGGAATAAATCGAAATTTGCAAGATAAGATATAATAAAATTCGGCTTGAAAACATATCATCTATAAATTTATGAAATTATTGCAATAAATCGTCGTATTTTAGAACGGGATATCTTAATGATAAGTTAGCGTATAGTATACCAGCACACTTCTGATGGAAAAGATATTTAAAAATAGTTTTCAGAAGCATATAAAATACAATTTATATATATATATATATATGTATGATATATATGTAATTTAATGTGTTTCTGTTTCTTTTTAGCACAATGAAAAGGATGCGATAATCATAGAGATATTGAGCATGCAGCTTTTTGCTGACAGTAACATCATGCAAGACGATGAGATACAGTTGCTTTACATTGAATATTCCTTCCTCGATAATCGTGGCGAAGATATGGAGACTATTTCCGTGATGAAACCAAAAACAGCTAATCAAGAAATGGTCTTTAATTATAAGAAAAGTACGTCTTTTATTTATATATGTAGAAATAAATATTCTTGCTTCGTAAAAAGATTCATATCTTTAAATATGCTAATTATAAGTTTATATGTTTAAATATGTTGATTATAAGCGAGCAAAATTACATATCATATTTAAATTTACGATATAAATAAGCAGACTTATAATTTCAGAATTTTGGGTAAATGAAACAACACATCCCATACAAAAAGAAAAATTGTGTGCCATGATGGCTGAAATTACAAGTCCAAATATCAATTTTACTGTTATTAGCGAACCATTACCACAAGAAAGAGAAATTAAAGATTGCGAAGAAGTCGGGTAAATAACAATTCATTTTATTTAAAATGTTTTATTTAAAGTCAGTATGTAAAAATAAATAGTGCTTATTAGCACTTTCCTATAAGTACGACAGATAATTTTTAATTTATAATTTAATATTTGGTAATTGCTTTCCTTCCTTCTAGTTACGCATCTTTTAATTTAAAACAATACGCACTTGATAATGAGTACAAACATATATTATTGCCGATCAGGAATAATCGAAATAGACATATTGGATCGCTGAAGGTACACGTAAATCATCTTTTTATGAAAATTACGATTTAATATTAATTGTCAAATTTAAATTTATTATAGATTGCTGTATCGGGTTTGAATGCCATTAGACAATGTTTACCAAAATAAATAGATCAATTATAACAGCAATTTTAGAGATGAATGTACGAGTATTTAGATTAATCAAGAGATGATTGAATCAAAGTTCAAAGATTAATATTTTGAATCGAGAAGAAGAATTAAACTTCTAATCAAATACACGAATGAAAATTTATTCAAAATTGTCTACATACTTTCTAGTACATTAAATTATGTTGTAATGTCATATTGATAAGTATTAATACATTTATTAATCTTTAAAGAACACAAAGTTTGCACTTTTTGGAGTTTATATAAATTATTGCTGTTATTGTACGTAAAAAAATGCTTCGTACTTTTAGCCACGCGCTGAATTTTCTGCTCAATTTATTGATCTTCATTCTATTAGTTCCTTACATTTTTATTAAAACATCTAAATCTTTTTCTTTTCTTTATATTGCTGCAGTGTATTATTTTGTTGCAAAGTATTATTTTGCTGTACCATACTATTCATCGAAATCTCGGTCGTGGTTTCGTTGTCCCTTTTATCTTTCTGAAATAATCGCACGAGCCCTCGGTATTGTCTTTTTATTTCTGAAGATAGTTTAGTGCGGCGAAATATGTCGTTGTAGACATTTGTAGCTATCTGAAAATCCCTGCAATCTTGCGGATTGTGGGCGATCGACCAAATACCTACTATCGTATCGATACCTTGGCATACTCTACACGCACCTACGTGTATCATTATAAATCTTTTTTAAAAGTTTTGACTAGTATCTTGCGGGTAACATTTATCGAATGTGAAAAAACTAATTTATTCGATTGCGTATTATACCTGCAAATACCGCCAGAGACTTTGTACGATTGTCGATAGCAAGCAAGGAGAACGGTCCACCCACTGCGAACGGGGCATATCCAGTCAAGTTCCATGTAGGATCCAGCAAACCTTGATGAGTGGGCGGAGGTGATAATTTCGCAAGTGTTACATTTATAGTGCGATTACTGACTTTCATGTCGATCCGCATTCCGCCCTGGGTAGTTACCCACGAACCCGATATCTTACAAGGCAAGCCTGTTTCGAGTGAATACGATTAATTATATCGAATATTTGGCAATATGTTTCTTTAATATTAAATCCTGTATTAGATTCTTAAAGTAAATAAATTTTTAATTTTATTAGTAGAGTTAATTAGAAATTTAAAGTGACTTTATTTTTCTTTGAAACAAACGAATCTATTACTTGTTAATAAGAAGTACATACATTCTCAAAACAACTTTAACGTTAATGTTAATGTTTGATATTAAATACTCAAAAATCAATATATATATTATTATATATATATATATATATATATATATATATATATATATGTGTGTATAATTTGTAATATACAGTAACCTTCTATCTGCTCATTCTCAATCGCTCGATCTGATTTAATTTCCTCTAATTCGTCGACAATCTTCTGCAGTATCTGATTGGCAACTTCCTTGGTTTCGTTCAACGTTGCAGAAACATTTGCGTGTTGAATCTCTTCCGTTGCCCTCACTGCGATCGTATTAGATGCGAGATTATCGTGTATCTTGTTTATTTCTTCGTTCACGCTATCATCATTTTGGAATTGTTCGTGGAAAATTCGAGCCGCCTTATGATCTTCCTTGATCAATGCTTGTTTTTGACCATCGTTGTACCAACTCTGTCCGATTTCACTCTCTCGATTGGGGATTACAACATTTTCTATTGGTCGACTTTCAACAGACTGAGAAGGATCCCAAGCATGATCAATGATTTTATGCATAGTTTGCCTTGTGGGAACAGGATGAACGTAATCATTAGATAAAGATGCTATTGCAGGTCCAGCATTCTTCTCGGCGACATATATATTTGAAGTACCTGGAATTTTACGAAGGATGTGCGGTGTGTCTATCGAAGCACCGGAATAAAGCACTTTCACTTCTTCAGGTTCGCTCATTTCCGGTCTAATACTTGAATTTGTATACAAACGAGGAACATTCATTATTTTATTTTGATATTGTAGCATATCTTCAGGAATCTGTTTGTCTTGGATCTGCGGGTTGAGAATGATATCCGCGCTGGTAGTGAGAATTTGAACCAGATCAAGATCAGGATTAATAAAATTCTCGCTAGAAGATTCCATCTCATTGATATATATGCTTTCTTTAGGCCGATTGATGTCCGATACTTGATACTGATTAAATGCCAAATCTTTTTGAATTTTCTCAGGAATGTAATATAGATTTCCTGGATTGATTTTCTGCTCGATTAACATTGGCAAATTTGTAGGCGCGTAATCAATATTATTTTCATTTGCTTGAGCGATAACAGAACGACCAGTCTCCCAAGGTTTTAATAATTCATAATCATAAGTTAAATCCTTGTCGTTGGAATCTCCCTCTGTGAAATGCCGCTTGAATTGCGAACGATTCCTGAATGGATTACTGCCAAAGGCAGAACTGTTTGAGATTTGTCTAAGAATTCTATCGTTTTCAATTTCTGTTTCATCTTCTTTCAATTGTGTTTTAATAGGTTCGGCGATATCGTCATTATAATATTTGGAATCGTCAATTCCTTGATCGCCAGACATTTTCTTTTTTGTGATTGTTTGTAGTGCAATCATCTTTTCGTTTGGTGATAATTCGTTGATCTTTTGATGTCTTTGCCTCGAAGAACTTGCAAAATTGTGTTTTAAAATATCGTCATTTTTAGTTACAAAGTTTCGTTCAGCAACATTATTTTTTATCATTGAATTTAACGTATCTGTATTTGCATTATTTTGCTTCACTTTAATATTAACAGGCAGATTTATTTTCTGTTTCTTCTAAACAATAAATGTAACATTAAATCAAGTCTTAACTTAAAACAAAGAATATTTTTACATAACAAAATCTTTTTCTTATTCACCTTAATATGATCTGGATTGCGTAACCAAGGATGTTCTTTGTGCCGTCTTCTTATGCTATGCTTATTTTTCTTTTTCTTTAGTTTTTTATTGTGTTTCAAAAATGTATTCGTTTTTCGTGTACTTACTGTTGATTCTCTATTTATGTGATTTATTGGTAAATCTTTCACTCTTCTAGAATGATGATGTGAAAATCTACTTAGATTTGTCAACTTCTTCATAGTACGTTGTAGTTGTAGCGATCCAAGAGCCTCGTTTGCCATTTTCTGAGCTAAGGATTTAATTTTTTTTGTTCATCAATCGTAGCTTTCAAATTTAGATTTTCATTTTTCATTTCGGGTCTTTCATTAAAAGTTTGCTTGTTCAAATTTGATCTTTTTATTATCATTCCATTTTTGTACGCATTATTATTTTCTGTGCGGAAAGAATCCTTCGCAATAATTGATTGTACGACAGATATGTCATTGCATATTATTTTGATTAGTAATGGTATAATCATGATAAACCTGTGTGATCATAAACAGGAGCTTTTATGTACACGCATCGTAATAAAATTACGACAAATACCTGCCAAAAATATATAGCATCAAGAATACCTGTAGCGTTCGTTTCTGTTCTTTAGTATCATTTACAGAGCATTTGTTACTCATACAAGAAAAAACTTATTTTTACTTTCGTTTTTCGAGATTTATATTTTAATTGTAACTCAAGCGATACGTATTCGTCTATATTGGCAAAGCCATAAAATTGAATAATCTTTTTCTCGTAACCGCATTGATAAATCTGTAGATAAACATTTGTTCGATAATCAACACGTAAATGATGCTGTCTTCTCGCCGATCTCGTTTTGTTGTGAATCTCTTCATTAGATTGAAGGCGTATTCACACGGAAAAGTTATTTGCCAACTTAAGATTTTTTTATTTGCAGATGGCATAATTCTCTTTTGAAAAAGGCATGTTAACATTGAAACTCGAAAGTCTCAAATCTCTCAAAGTTTATGGTTACCTTTTCACCGCAATGCTGATTGGTGCTCTCATTGCGCTTACTTCATGAACGGCTGTATTATAAAAATTAATAAAATTAACAAAATTAACAAACAGTCAAATAAAGAATAAAAATAAGGGAATTAGGGAATAAGTAGCGCATGCAAAGTATTTTAATATTTCAAAAAGTGCAATTGAAATAACAATTATTGTTAATTTAATTATTTGTTTCTAAATTAATTTTTCTATAATTGAGCACGACATTCTTCATTTTCTAAAACGTTAAATAATTAACTTGCAGCACTGTACATTGTAACAGATTCAATACGCAAATAGATCTCAACTAGTTCGCTCCCAATGTAGAAGTCACGTATAACGAGACGTCACAGCTGATCAGCGAAGAAATCGTGGTACAAAGTAGCTTACGTGTGTAAAATCGTCTTGGTATCGATTTGGATCTGTAGAGAAATCCCTGGAGAGATGTGGGCATCGATTATTATTAGAAGCGGCTGAAATGCGGTCGATCGAGCGCGCTACAAATCAGCACATGCAAACTCCATAACAACGGTTCCGCAACAATCGCATTCCCATTTTAGCTTAGTGATATTTGTAAAACAGGAATGAGCGATTTGTTATACGGAAAATGAAAACATCTTATTTTGTGTAGACTATGCAGAAGAATAAGCAACATTAATGGCTGCTTTCAGCAGAAGTACAGCCTTACAACTGTTGTTTAGATTTTTCAAATTATAAAAACGTTTCAAAAAAGGAATATACTACAATTAGCACAGAAGAAGAGTTTTAATCGAGTAATGTCTACATCAGCTGAAATATTCGGAAATAGAGAAAATTTTATCATTTTGTAAAACTAAGATAGAACATACAAAGGATAGAATTAAGGCAATACTGCAATTAAAGGAAAAAGATTTAGGGGAGCATCACGTTGTCGAGGACATTGTCGATGGCGATGAGGAGGTAGAGAAGAGAAGAAGAAGAAGAAACTGCTCGGGCATTGGGATGTGTTGCCGCTGGCATTGGTAGCAGTCTCGAGATAGCCGTCGGCTGGCTTCCTCACCGGCTCGGGCGATTTATTCGGGGATTCCTAGGTGGCCGAAGTGGCGAGCGAGCGACTCGGCGACGTCGACGGGAACCGGCGAGGAAAATCGTCTCGCATACGTAATCCGATTGCTTCCCCTTTAAAGCCGATAATTCGAGGGTTGGTCGAGCGAAAGTCGCGGGGCAGTCTCGAAGGTCCTGGAGGTCAGTGCACAGTTCTCTCCCCTTTCTCCCCCGGAACAGATTTCTCCCTCCTCCCCTGATCGCGTTTCCCTTTCTGACCGTTGTCTCTTCTTCTTTCTCTCGCCGTCCTATGTCAGCTCAGCTCGTTGGTGCTATTTTCGCGCGAGTGTGTTGTGCAAGTGTCGAACGTTAACGTTAAGCTGGCGATTCCGATGTAGAGCTCATTCGATAGGTCAAGCCATCATCTTTCGGTCCGTCCGCTCTGGTGATATCGTCATCTTATTCTGTCCAACTCACCCTGCACTCCTGACCAAATGTATATATTCTACTGTGAACGGTTTTTATATATATATATATATATATTTGTGTTCATATACAAGAAAAGTAAATCATTAAATCATGAATCTGGATGCCGTCGATAATCGATAATTATGATCTTTTTCTAGTTATAATCAATATAATTACATTTTAATCAATGCTACAGATATTATAAACATACAGAAACAGTCTATATGTCTTTACATGTGGCGACAGTTGGAGATTTACATAATTGGTAACTGACGTCACTTATAGAAATTTCTTTATCATTAAATATTACATTAACATTGTACTCTATTTGTCGGACTGTCCGTTCTGTTTTAAATGACAGATATAAAATATACTGACATTCTGCCATGCGGAAGCATGGCACGTTGCTTGTAGTGAATTTCGTGATAGTTTTCCTGGTCGAGTCATCTCGAAGACGTACAAGCAGATATTTCGCTTGAGCGAGACAGATACAGATTAATAAACGTGTCTAATAGTTACAATCTGGAATCTGGTGTCACTGCCGACTAAACGTCTGTTTATGTCGGTTCCAATTTCCAAAATATATTATCGCGCTAAGTAATTTCGAATAGCTCATTCTAGCTAGAGCAACTTATGTTTCATATTAGATGTGTTTTAATCAAAGAGATAATATAATGTAAATTCTATTGATTAAAAACTATAATATACATGAGATTTTTTTGAACTCTAATTTTTATTACTTCTTGTAGCGATGATTATTAATTCATTCTCGAAAATAAATTAATCGCTTCATAAATTACGAGCTGATTATTTGCTATATACAAAAATATATTTTTGTAATTCTTTTCTAATTAAAATAATATTATATATAAACATATATTATATATAAACATTTGCAAAATAATTAAATTCCGAGTTTAATTAAATTCCGAGAAAAAAGAGGATAAATTTTTCTCGCGAATAAAACAATGAGATAATCCCAACGAGCCAAATAGCATAAAATTTTTGGCCAAATGAAATTCTGCATAACCCTAGTCGTGCTCAAGGTGCTTCATAAAATAGCTGCACTATTTTCCTGGCACGGTTTCCCAGAGTCAAGCATCTAGTGAATCAAACCGTAGGAAGGCCAAGTTTTTAGTTTTGTGTAAACAGAATTATACATATGCGTTGACACTTTAGAAATTTGCGCATAGATTTCATTTCGTAAAATATATAAACCAAATTCAGTTTAATTGCATCGTCCAAATAGGACAACAAAAAAGCGGATGTAATTAATTATTTTTGCTATGTAATTTCAAGCTAATGAATATATTATTTTGTAAAGTTTGACAATTTTTTCGGCTTTTATCCAATTTTTCGTAGTAATTATTTTATATCAAAGAGATTATAATAATTTTATCAATTTCCAAATATTTATTTTTTTATATTAATAAAAATTATTCGACAAACTTATTTATTAGAAAGTAGCTATGTATCTTTCATCTTTAATCAAATACTGCCAGGAGCAATCGTATAAACCGCCAATCTTTGAACGCGATGTACATTCGAGAAAGAGTCTTCTTTTTCTATGATAGCTCTGGGGCCATGTGTTTAATATGACTCATGTGTTTTCTATTAATATAAAGCAAGCATATATTTCCATTATACACAGTAAAAATATCTTAGAAGATTAGATTAATTCACAATTCGTTGCATTAACAAATGATTAAAAAGTGTGTAGGATAATATATAATCATATAATATTATACATCATTTTTGTGTAAATTTAATGTAAAATTTTGCAATTTAATATAAAAATACAGTACAACAACAGATATGACGCGAGATACGTATTTAGAAAATCGAATATTAAAATTATGATACGTACGTTGCAATTTTTTTTAAAGATGAATCATCTCACAATCGACCCCACAATTCAGTGAGATCTCGATAATGCGAAAGTCGAATAGCGGAAGTGACCCGATTAACATCGAAACAGAAGAAAATGCGGTCAACACCGCGACGAGCCGACGGAGTCAGCCAATCGCGACGAACGACTGTGACTGTCGCGTGTCGGAAATAGATCTCGAATCTCTCAAACCAAAGGTTGATCTACTGAGACGACTTACTTTAATCATCCAGGCATTACACACTGATTGGTTCTGATAATTAAATAATAAATTACTTAACAATAGAACAAAAGTGCAAATTATCATGTAACAATTTCTCGCTTCGAAGAAAAGAAGAAATTTCTTCTATCTTTTTTCTTTTTATATATTTTCTGTACTTTTAATTCTTATTTATAATTTTAAGGATAGATTGATTTAATTATTTATTGATTTGATTATATTTAAATTATTTTAAAATTTCGTGATGTTGTTAAATCACAAAAAATAAACGATTGGAAATGGAAGAAGTTCACTACGATATGTTCTATTTAATAAAATAATGTTCTTTATTTCTTCTGTTGCATTATCATTTATATGAGACAAAGAGATGTTGACAATGCTTTCTCAATGATTTAGAAATATTTTATTTTGTCTATAAATTATAGTCAATCTTTATGGTTGACTTCTAGTTGGCAACAATCGCAAGTTTCATTATATTCTTCATTTTAAATGCGGATATAAACAGATACTTGACAGTGCGATTGATGATAACTTTATAAGATTTCTGTAGATAAATTTGCTGTTTTCTTGACTCTCTAATGTGGCTAAGTTACCAACTGCTCGAAAGAGAGAGCTGTGAGAACTTGCAACTTTCTTGAATTTATCTGGAAAACATTTTACGTTCATAAATTTAAAATATTGCGATAACATATTAATATTTCTTTAAATACATAAATAAAATGATTCATTTTTTGATAAGTAATAGTATAACAAGTTTATTGTTTTATATGAATATAAATTTGTTATTAGAACAATAATATGTATATGTAGCTATACATATTTGTTATGTATCTTGTGCAATAATATATTGCAATTAAAATAAAAACGTAAAACTAATTTAGTTGAATCTTTAAAACTATGTTAGTCTTTGTTTATATCTGTTTCAGAATAATAATGTAACATTGAACACACAACTATGGCATTCAATTCACGTATGAGTACCACATCCAAAAGAAAAAAAGGTATATTATATTTGTTTAACTGTTTATAAAACTTGTTATAAAAATGCAATAGTTCATTGCTTTACATTTTTTTATACATTTTGTTCGTTATACTGTCCGTGCAGAATTTTCATTGGAATTATCTCGTACCATCATCGGCGGAACGAGAATTCAACGAGAAGTAACCGAAGAAGTCGTACGCTTAACAAACAGAGTGAGTATCGATCACAAAAGATTTATTTTTCTCAACTATGCTTTATTATATTCTCTGTATTTAAAATAAAACAGTACATATTTTATGATGTTAAAAAAACATCGATATTCAGTTTACGTGGCAGGAAATGCTTATACGATACATTATAATTTAAATATCTGGAACTGAAACAAATAACATTTATCTCCGTGAGTGATGCATTTGATGGACTATCTCGTAAAACATATAAATGCTAAAGATCTTTGAATAACTGCCCAAAAATGCAATTAATAATACGCGTGTCTAAATATTAGCGCACCGAAGCTATGTCTAAATATTAACGCTGATGAAGCTATATCTTCACACTTCTATATACACACTTCTATATACAGCAAATGAAGACATATGTAAAAATTTATATTATATTCATTATCGACTAAATTTTATATATTCAAATTTATTAAAAATATATTTCATTAAATAATAAAGAGATGATATATAAAAGTATATACTTGGAGTTTTCCGATAACGAGTTCCATTCAGCACACCCGGTTGACATGTCCTTGACAGCAACAATCTTTTTTGACACGTCGCGTCGGTTTCTTTGGAAAAATCTAGGAACTATTGTGATCGAGGGGAGACCAAAGACGGGGTACATGACAGAGGTAGATGGAATACCTGATTCGCTGCCAAAAGCCGTAGTTACACACACGCCATTAGATTTCGAACACTCCCGCAATACGGGAGTGTGTCTTTCGTCTTCACGTGCTATTTTTTTCTTTTTATCCATTGCTTTTTTGCTTGACGGTCTTTTTAAGATTGTTTTCTTTTTTGATGCATACAAGAGATGTGTTATATGGATTCATGTTTCCCGAAGTCAAAATATCTTCTCCATTCTGATAGATTTGACTTAAAATTAATTAATCGTATTATTGCTTCGCGTATAATAATTGCACGATTATTATTATTGCATCATATGTTTTATCATTGCGTTTATAAACAATGAATAGAGACTATTTTCACTTGCTCTGTTTTTATATCTCTCGTCCGATTAAACTTAGTACATATTATCATCTTGTTAAAATATTTCTAAAAAGGTAGATGAGAAAATGAACTATTTTTAATGCAGATTGAGGACAAAGTCCGAAGGGTTTATAACGGATAATTGCCCGGTGTTGGTGATTTTTATTCTCAATCTATTTTTGACCACCTTTCACGCCGTGCAACTTCAACAACACCCAGATGCGTTTATCGGTCGTCAGTGAATTATACGAGCAGTCGCGAATTCCGCCCGCAAAATGCACGCGTCTGGCGCCTCATCGTCATCATCCAATGGGATTTTCCGAAGTCATTATTTTAAGAGAAATAAAAGATAAGAACAGGAAATAATTTAAATTCATTGATAAAATATTAACTGCTTCAATTGTTATGATTAACTTCTCTTGTCTAGTTTTTGCTATTATCTTTTACATCTTTATATTTTTGTTTTAATATCGTCTCCAAAGTAATTACAGTTATTTATTTAACTTTTTGCGCATATATGAATGGTTTTACTTCTCTTTTCCGGAGTTTTAAGTTCAATGTTTCGTCGAAGATGCATCATGCATCATGATAAAATGTTCTATTATAAATTAATATTGGCCTTGCCACCGTCGGTCCGTCCAACATGGTTCTCTCTAGGAAGCTAACAGTCGTCATAAATCAGCGCGAACGACCGCAGAACAAAACGTTGAAGTAGCTTCGGTCCATTAAGCTGCGTGTGGAAAATTGCTCGCTCGGCTATAAAAATATGCAAATGTGTTTCGAATGCTCGCACGTGATTTTTCCCTCGTCTGCTGGCGCACTGGCACCAATCGAACGTTTAAGTTTAACGCCGTCGCTCGTTCTCATCGTTTTTCATTGTAAAGCTTTACCACATCCATCCTGTCTGACATTGCCAACAATGCGTCCGCGTATTTGTTTATGAGGGTCTTAATCAATCAGAGCAAATCGCCTCTTGTGTTTTTTAAACCAACATTGTGTCAAGAATCTTACAATTTATCACTCGGACTCGCGCCCACTCGCTGGAAATATTTAAACTACACTCTACTCGATATATCGACATATATTGATTAATTATTACTATTCGATACTATTAGATACTATTACTATTCGATACTATTAGAAGATTACCAAAAAAAGTATTAATTTAAACTTATCCATTAAATTTCTAACAAGGATATGAAATTCTAAATTACGTTAGAGAAATGTAAAAAGAATACGCTTCGAATAATCAAATGTGTAGTATAACTATATAAGAAAATTATTAATTTTACTTTGATAAGATATGTTCCGTTGCTATGCAAAAGACATTATTCCGGAAATCTGTGGCAAACCCTACTGTTTTTTTCGCGACGCGAAGAACTTCCACGTGCAAAACTTCCAAGCGCCGAAAACCGAATGGTGTGGACCATACACGACTTCACGGAGATCTGGGTCCGTGTACTCCGTTCTAAAGATGTATTGGAGAAGTGTAAGAAGGGTAGGCTATTTCTGGTCGTGGGAGCCAAGAGAGAGACTCGCCGTGCAAACGGCTCTTAGCCACTTCGTACGCCGAGAGTAGTCTCGCTTTCGCCGCGTATCGCCGATATACACCTTTCGGGAAGACCGCATCTCGCAAAAAACCGAACGATGTGATCAGTATAGTGAGAATGAAAATGCTTCGCTTAGTGACCAGAATAAACGAGATTCTACGGGGGCTATGATAAATTAACGGAAATTATGAAGAATCGATCGTGTACCCGAAATCCGATCGAACTGAAATGAAAATTGAATGACATCAAACAACCAACACCAACGGGAATAAGTAATTTTCGTATAAGAGGAAACAATAAGAAGCGAATAATTTTTCATTTCGGACAAAGAAACAGGATGGATCAAAATTTATTAAAAATTAATGTCTAAAGAGAAGCGTTTGAAAAAATTTTTCACTTCGCGAGATTGCTGTGAAGAAGTCAAAGAAATTTTTATATAAATATCAAAAACATATGATTAATTGCTTTTTTACAAAATTTAATATAATATTATTTTTAAGAATTAATGTTAAATTGCTTGCGTCGATATAAATGTGCAGCACGAATAAGTGAACTAATGTATAAAAATGAGAAATAAAGACTGCAATTCATAATGACATATATAATATATTTCTCTTATGACTATAAATATCAAAAGTAAAATGTGAATCTTTTAATATAATGCCAGTCTACAAACGACGCGTGCGAGATATTAAGCAATCAAAAGTGAAATGTCAAATGGTTAAATTAAGAAAAGAAAGAGAATAAATAACATTGAACAGACGTAAGCTGAAGCAGTAAGATAAATTTTTTTTTTTATAAGCGGAAATACATTAAAACATAATCAATTTTTTAAGTGAAAGACTTATAACAAGAAGTATTAATACGCTGTGGTTTAAATAAAATATACTATCCAAAAAGAAAAAAAAAAGGAGCCAGAATCGTGTAGATAAATCGACAAAGACATCGAAGCGAAACTTGATGAACGATATCGCGGCGAGGGCGAGACGGCGACATGTGCGAATTGATTGAGGGCGCAAAGTCGTGATTCCCATCGTCGGGACGCCAAGTTTCGAGTCGATGTCCATTTGTTCACGTCCGGCACAACGATTTCGTTGACGGTTCGCGGGCGTTATTGAATTTTAATTCCTGAAGAAGGAAGTGTTCGATCTTTTTTCCGGAGAGTCCCGTTAAAACGCGAGCTTTCATATCGCGCTTCTAAAACGAATGATTCATCTAATTCATTGAACTTATCATGTGTTCGTGTCCAGTCCAATGCGGACCACGCAAAATTTCAAAAGCTCGACAGGTCAATCACGTATAATTGATTTTGCTTTAACTCCCTTCTAAGATCATTGAAGATATTAAAAATCTCGTGCTATCGTCGGAAGAACACAGAAGAATTGAAGAGAAATGTAATCATGATATGTTCAATACAAGTAATTCCTCGTCCATCTTTATAATCGATCTTGAAGCTCATGTGACAATGTTTATAATCGGAAATGTCGAAGTATTACTAATGATCTCATCAAGTGTCGAATAGTTATTTCGGAAGAAGACAATGTCCTTCTGCAGGATCACGGGTAAAAGTCGAGGTCTTCCCAGGCCAATATTTTCCGCTGCTACCACCCATAAGTCCGGCAGATGCGAAGCGATTCTGTCGCATCACCGGCAAGTCCTACGGCCTGCCGACCCATCATTACATTCCGGTGCTGTTGGGCGCGCACGCCCACGACAAGTCGAAATGTAAGATTACGACCAAATCATCGGGCCTTGGTCCGCATCACTATACCGCCGGTTTGATCGTTGGTGAAAAGAAGAAGCATGTGGTGCTCAAAGACTATCGCTACGTCTTTCCGATCCTGGAGGGTGAGGGTGAGCAACAGCGTACTTTGCGAGAGCTTTTGAATGCGAAACAGACCCCGATCGAGGAAGCGGAAAAATTTGTGTACACGGTGGAGGAGCGAAGATGCAGTCTCGTGTTCCCGGCGAAGTTGGAAGCCGCCGTCAGGGACGGAGACGTCAAGGATGTAATGCTCTCGCGAGATTGCGACACCGTTTTGTTGAGACTAAAACAGGGCAAGAATGTATCTGTGGATTTTAAGAATTTGGAGAATTTCGAAAATCTTTATGATGGCATGGGACCACGAGAGGAAGTGCTGAAGGAGCGAGAGAGATTAGAGGCTGAGGCTAAAAAACGGAAGAGAAAAAAGCAGACCGTACTAAATTATGCAAAAAAATTTTTCGAGGAAAAAGAGAAGGCGGCTGACGAAGAAGAACTCCAACGTACTAAGCAGCTTAAACTAAGAAGTATCAAAGAAGAGGTCAAGGAGGAAATGATGGAAGATTGGAAGCATGTGAATGCAGAACAGGCGAGATTGAAATCTGTTGACATCATGAATATTTCGAACATTCTCAAAGATGCAGGAAAGCCGGTTTCCAACATGTTAGACTGGAATACATTTCAAAGTAATGCGAAGAAACCATCCGGCGTATCAGTGATTGAAAAAATTCCGGTAGCCGTAACTGCCGAGCCACAAATCATAGATCATGAACCAATCTTATACGCTAGTTCTATATCGGAGTCCGTGGGTGGTTTTGAAGCAATCGCGATCGCAAAGCCGCTGACACCTTTGATCGCGAAACCAGATGTTACGTTGCAAAATGCGATTCGAAGTATCTCACAGGGTGATCTCGAGGATAACGCGAACGTGACGGACAAATTTTTGCAGGCTGGAGAACAAGCGTTAAAATGCTTGCCGAGAATAGAGGAAGTATCTGAATTGGTACGAAATTTACCTACCGGCAAAAAGACTACGATGCATAATGTTAAAGGTCTCAAGTTGGATATTAAATCGGCTGAAAGATTTGTTGCAGGCCAGACAGTGCACACACCTTCCGGCGCTATTTTCGTGCCTGGTCAAACTCTGCAGACTCCTCAAGGTTCCACTTTCGTTCCTGGATTAACTCTTAACACGCCTGATGGTCCGCTTCTAGTTCCTGGACAGATCGTCATCGTGAGCGAGTCGGATGGTGCAAAAACGCCGGTTTTTGTGGCTGGACAAACCTTGATGACAGAACGAGGCGAATGTTTCGTACAAGGCCAGACGTTCCATACAAGCGAGGGAAGCAAATTCGTTGAAGGTCAGACCGTTCTGACGGAGGAGGGCCCAAAATTTGTAGCCGGTCAAGTGGTAAGGGATGGAACTTTCATCGCGGGTCAAACTGTGATCACTCCGGACGGAGTACGTTTTATGGCTGGTCAATCCGTCACGGATTATCGCGGCGAACCGGTCTTCGTGCCAGGACAAAATGTGCGGATTGACGGCAATTACGAATTCGTACCAGGCCAGTGCGTTGAATCACCAAACGGCGAACCCAAGTTTGTTCCTGGACAGACTCTGCTAACAACGGAAGGTCCGCAGTTTGTTCCAGGCCAGTATGTAACCACGAAATTAGGTGAGAAACATTTTGTTCCTGGCATTGCTAGAGAAACGGAGGATGCCTTGACGTTCGTATCAGGAATGACACTGGACACACCCAAGGGTCAGAAATTTGTTGAGGGTCAAGTGCTGAAGACGCCGGAAGGTGCTGTATTCTGTCCGGGACGAACTATCATCACTGAGAAAGGTTTCGAATTTATTGCAGCGAGCAAATTTGACGAGGTAATTTTTCAAGATGCCGGTCCCGTTGGCATTCCTGTGGATCCGAAGACTGCAAGTGCGGTATCAGCTCTTCAGCAGCGCGAAATTTTCGGTCACATGGTACAGACAGAAAAGGGTATCGAGTTCTTCCCAGAGAATGCGAGAAACTTACCGGAGGGCAGAAGAATCGTGCCCGGTCAGTTGGTCTCTGGCGACAAAGACGGTCCACGTTTCGTTCCAGGTGTCATGACGGAAGATGGCTTCTTGCCTGGTCAAATAGTCATAACGGAGAAGGGGGAGGAGTTCGTCCCAGGTCAGGTGATCGATACGAGTAGCGGGCCGAAATTTGTGCCCGGCCAGATAGTGGAGACTCGGACTGGACCCAAATTTGTACCTGGTCAAACGATAGATACGCCCGATGGACCACGTTTCGTGCCGGGTCAAATTGTCGATACTAAAGTGGGACCGACATTTATTCCTGGTCAAGTAATTTACACGGAAGAAGAGGGATCCAGATTCGTACCAGGACAAGTGGTAGACACGCCGAATGGTCCTAGATTCGTGCCGGGTCGCGTGGTGGAGGCTGGTGAGATGGGTGTGACCTTTGTACCAGGTCAAATCGTGCAGACGGAAGAAGGGCCCTGTTTCGTCGCTCCCGATCTTATCGATACTCCCGAAGGTGAGCTGGAATTTTCCGTGCAGGGTTTCGAAGTTACTCCCGAGGAGCTGCAATTGCTGCGGCCGCAGCATTTGCATTACAATCCGCGATTTCGCCATCGCGGCGAGACTAGCGTGGACGCTAAGATGCTGCGCGAATTTTCCGAGGCAGGATTACCCGTGGGACGGAAAGTCGCGACAAGTCTACCAACGGTGGATGTGGACATAGATCCAAAAGCGGTAGCTTTAGAACAGGCTCTCGCTGTAGCGACGACAAAATTAAGTCTACAAGGTGGTACGGCCGTGAAACTGGCACAAGTTATGTCAACGATTGCACAATTAGCGAAAAACATTATTCTGCAACAGAAGCAACAACAGAATTCAGATATTGCAAATGCGGTAACATTAACAAACGGCAATCAATCGTCTGTTACTGAAACCGAAGAAAAAAGAACAAACAATGAAAACAATAACGGATCATTTCGAAATATAATAAGAGCGGCTATAACAGCAGCTGTCGCGACGATATCAGACGATCAACAGGCAACAACAAATAATAGCAATTCTCAAGATTTTGTCTATTCTTCTATTAGTGAATCGTTCGACGTGCTGTTGCATCAGAACGATGTCGATCGATCAGTGGATGAAATTTTAAAAATCCTTCTGATTCCGCAGAATCGCAGTTCTCTTTGTCAAAGCGTGCTCTCGGAATTATTAGAGACCAAAAACAGCAAGGTAAATATACTCAAGTCGACTGTGAGTCCTGGCCAGTCATTGCGGAGGGACGCCGTGCTCGAGAAGCTATCGTTGGTTCTCGAGGAGGAACACGGCATGGATTTGATCGGACCGGCCTTCCGAATCGTCTCGAAGAATGATCCCGAGCTAGTGTCGCTCGTTTTGGAGAACGTATCGCGACATGTGGCGGAAGTAGCAACCGAGAAGGAAGCCGCGGAAACGGTCTACAAAGCGATTGTCGAAGCGGTCCGAGAATCAAGCGAGATTCGCGTGAAAGAGTTGCTAAACGTCGAAGGTCCGGATGTTCGGGAGATGCTCCTTCAGGCAGTAGGTTTGGCACGTGCCTTGGGAATGTCCGAAACGGCGAATAGCCTACTGGCGGTGATCAGCGATGAGAGATCTACCCGAGCGTTGGCAAATGACCGGGTGACTATGGACGTGTTGAGAAGATTGGCAATTATGAGAAAACTCGCGGAAGAACGACCGCCCTTCATGAATGCTCTTGGACAGTTATGCAGTGATCCCGAATTGGCTAGAGCAGATCCGCGATTACGAACCCTCGTTAGAGAGAGTGCCGCACTCATGATCGTACCCGAAGAAACTCCATTGCTATCGTCGGCCGATGTTCCAACCGCATTACTACACGCTAACAATAGCCTAGCGATGGAAGAGTTCCTGCTAAGAAGGAGTCATAAGCGATCGGCGATCTTCATGATCTTGAAACAGGGTATGCAGGCGGTCGTGCCTAGAGAAGCTTCCAGATCAGTGTTGACCGGTGAGGTCGCCTATACTGTTCTCGACGAGGATGGTATACATCACTTCGAACCGTTGCACGTGTTCTCGGCGCTCAGACTAAATCGTCCGACCGCTCATCGGTTCTCCATGTACTGTTGTCCGGTGGCAAAGGAGGTGGACATTGACGGCGAGGTCATGTCCACCACCTTCACTGGCACAACCTCGATTTCCAGCAGTTTGGACGGTTCTGCTAATGGCAGTTCCAACAAACAAGAAAACAATGGTATCGCAACATTATCAAGATCTGAACAATCGGCCGCTTTTTATTCAGTCAGCAGAGAAAACACGCCGAGCCTGAAGAGATTAAATAACGCTCGACAATGGGACAGTTTCGACCGGGTAATGTATGAGGAAGACTAAACTATGACTATATTTGTTAACATTTGTTTTCTCATCGAAATCGTATTTTATTTCGCAACAACGTTTTAATTTATAAAATATATCTTTCTATTATTCTCCATTCTCTATTTTTATCTTTTCAAGGTGCACTTGAGAAAAAGTCAGGTATATAAACTTTTCGTTTCTATTTATGCCGTATCGTATTTTTGTTGCAGGGATCCTCGGAAAATTATGTCGTCGTGAAGGACTACGCAGCGGACACCGATGGATTCACCGTGAACGTCGGCGACATCGTCGAGGCCATCGAGCACGACAACGGTTCGGCAAAGTAAGCAATTTTTAGTTCAAGGATATAATTTAAAAAGAAAAGAAAAGAGAAGAGAGGGAGGTAGCTTTTCGACGTATACATTGTCATCGTGCTGCCTTTCGTATCGTACGTGTACACGTGGGTGGTGGCGGATTTTCGTGGTGGATAAAATCTAAAGATAGTCCGCACGACTCATCGCTTCACACGCGCGTTTCGTTCACGCAGAGCGCGTCGACGTGACCGAGGCGCGCGCGATAACGATTGTCCAGGCTGTTTGCCATCAATAGTCCGGAGATGTCGGCGTACACGCGGAAGCGATAGCCGAGAGATCGTATCGGACGAGCGCATTTATGGCCGACAGGTGCATTTCGCCGCTAATGCTGGCGTCGGCCTCCTCGCAAGAGCGAGCACAGATAATATCGGGTCTTAAAGGCGGCTACTGTTTGTACGCGTAACCGCGATTGAAATTACATACTCTCGTCTTTACAAAACACGACCGCTCGGCTTCCCGACGGTAATCGTGAAGAGAAACCCGCGGGTTTCGATCGAGTTAAAACCGGATATCGAGTATCGTGATGGGTGACGAGGATCATTGCCCCGCGAGTAAGACACGCTTGGGTTTCTGCTTGCACACCCGCCCGCGGTGTGCTATTTTTACGCATGGTGGTTTCATTCGGCGTTCGGCGTGTCTGACGTATTACGTAGAAATTTGTGAATACCTTGACAGACGGAAAATTTGCGCGAAATTTACAGTCGCGTAAAGATCTCACGGTAGCGATCTCGGTTATGCAAGAAAATTGGCTTCCGCGCTTCTACAACACGAGAGAATAATTCTCGAATGACCGGGAATAAAAGTCTCGCAGAACTGCTCCTAAATCGCATCGAGTCTTTTGGAATGAAGTAATATAACGGCGGAGTAAGAACCGCGCTAATCGTGAAAGCTATGCTTTGCGGTTACACATCGTAAAATTAGCATAGCACATGGCTTTTAGCTACATCCGCAAAATTAACAAGTTGGAATGGCACCTTGCGAAATATAATCTGCAAATATCATTCCTACTACAATGCTTGCGAAACATCCGCTTTGCACGTTAAAGGCTCACTCATTGTGATACGACTGACACTGATAACAAATAACAAGAGTTTTGATAAAGAAATATACTAAAGCTTTTAACAAATGTGTAACATTTAGAGAAAGACAAGTCTTTCTTTTTTCAATAAATTTCTTACGTCCGTACGAGCGGACAGATCTCTATAGCGGATGTTTCGCGTTGTTGTAGGAAAGCGAGATTGGACCCCGACTTGGAGGTCGAAGTCGGCGATATCTTGGACAATTCGGCTGCTAAGCACAAGCTTTCAATTCGACCACGTCGAAATCATGCAGATCCGCGAGCTCGAAGCCCGAGCAATTATTCAGACTCGAGCCTTCAAAGGTAAGGCGTCGAGATCAAGTTATAGTTCATTTATCTTTTTCTCTTCAGAAAATGGTCCGATAATGCAACAGTACAAGCCAGAATTGCGTTTCATATTCGTTAATTTTATCAGAAGCATAAATTAACTCTTTGACGTGCAATATTTTATTCCGCTTTCGTAACAAAGAACCTACTGAAAATAGAATAATGAAACTACAATATTAAATTTTAACTCATGAAGAATACATCACCGTCGATTTCCTGTTGTTATTCCGTTAAACTAACAATTGTCGTCATCGTTAAAATCCCATCTTTAGCCTAATATGATGTAAACAATAACGATTTCGATAAATTAAAAAATAATATTTAAAAATTGAATATAAATAAGATCAATTTCAACAATAATAAATAATTTGATGGAGTATTGTAAGAAATATTCTTTAAAAATTTCTTTATTACAAATAAATATATTGAAATATAATGCACAGGAAATATATATTTTGCAATTCAAAAATAGAAGATAAAAATATTTGCATATAAATGTGTGAATCATCGTTTCGTAAAAGTTGTTATGACTTTAGCTAAAAATATAAAGCATCTGTAATCAATTATTATAAAGTTTAATGTTTGAATAATACTGAAACGTATACTTTTCCTAAACTTTTTTGCTGTTATGGAAGCACTGTTTAACAGAATAGCCAAGTGAATTCTTAGTGAATTTAAAGTAGCACGTATGCATCTTGCATTTACGACAGATGAGACAAAAGCGGCCCGTTGTAACGTAGCCGCATTGAGAGCAAATTTGAACTTGCGTAGTTCCGAAATAAATTCAGCACTGCTGAATTATGACGACGCTAATGAAGATTAAGCATTTATAAACGTCTAGGGCAATAATATCTCGCGCGATCGTATCTCTGCGTGATTGGCGGTCCGCCAGAGTGTCAGTAAAACTGATAGCGCATAACATACTGCCGAAGGAAACCTTCGAATGTCGAAGAATCGCCATATTAAGGAAATATCGCACGTTTTGTAAAAATCCAACATATTTTATAGTTGCTAAAATCTTGTTAAATTAATTCGATGCAATATGTTTCATTACTGTTAAAGCTTATTAAAACTTGTGACGCTAAAATATAGTATTTCTTTGTATTCATAAAAATGGAAATGTTACGTGACAACAAAGTTTCTATGTAGCAATTCGAGCATGTTCGCCAGCAGTTTTTGCGTTCTGTGAATGGACGATGACTTCGATGGCACGAAGCCTTAGTCATTCTGCATAAATATAACTGCGCGACTCCTACGCTTTCGAACGTCTATCTATATCATTCCTTTCGATAACATCCGATCGCATCTCGTCTAATTGTTGGATGAATCTTAACCGAAATAATACCGGCATAGAAAATAAGATTTGTAGAACGAGTATCTTCAAAGAATGAGCTTTTAAAAAATTTTTTTTAATGCCGACAACACACAGATTATTAGAAATAATTAATATGATTTTTCGTAAGACATGTTTTTAGAATATCTGTAATTTTAAGAAGATACAAATATTTGACAAAAAAGTTTTTCTTTTATATTATATACATTCTTTTCTAATGAAATTTGTTGTTTTGTAGGATATATGTTCGTACATCCGACGGAAGGCAGGGATGGTTACCAATGTCCATTTTAATGCAAACGGCGCTTAGCGAAGAGACTTCGTCGATGAGTCGGCCAGAAGATTCTCATTATCGACGAGAGTACGTACTACTTAAGTTTTTAAATGTGTTTTTAATATTTTTATTTAGAATTAAATTTTTTCAATTCTCTTAAAATTTGTTTGTTTGTAGGGCTGTCGTAAAAGAGTTAATTGAGACGGAGGAAGAATTCGGCAGAGACATTCAACTCGTTGTCGAACGATATCTGAAGCCCCTTGACAATCCTGGTGTTCCACGAGCCGTACGAGACAATAAAGAAGTTATTTTCACTAATTTGAAGCAAATAGCCGATTTTCACAACACGTATGTATTTACAACAGCATGTGATAAAAAAACAAAACACGTGAGAAAAATGAAAAATGCGACACTGTCAGACAAGCATTCATGGATACATTACATAGTATCAAGTCGAATATCTTACATACATATACATATTTTCTCTAATTAATTTTTATCGGCTTCAGGGAAAAAATTAAGAATGATAGACGTTTATTGCACATCTAATTTCACGAAATATATTAAATACTGCAAATTTTATTTTCCCTGTCATAGACTTTATATATTTATAGTAAAAGTCTATGAAAGTTATATTCTATTATTTATCTAAATGTTTTATTAATTAATTACAAAATAAATATAAATACTTTATTTTGTTATTTATAAGTACAATACTATTACATCGGAGAAACACATGCACATTGAATTAAGAAAAATATCGTTTATCTTACATTTGTAAATCACATTTAATTTTTTATTTTAATATGTATTATTATTGGTAATCAGCAAAGATTGTTACACAATCATCATCTGTACCATACACAATTACATATACAATTTTCTCCACACATTATTCTTTCACTTATAGCGGATATACGATGATAAAGCGTGAGTTCATCGTCAAAATGTATTTTGTGTGGTAGTGTGCTTCTTCGTAAAATGTGAATTCGTGCCCCCGAAAATTAATCTATAATCTATAATCTACATCAACATTATTGCTTTTAGAAATTTGATTATAATGCCCTTTTATGATTTAGTGTAAGATATAATTTTATATGTAACAAATCAAACATTACTATAAAAACCGCATAAGCTTGAAGTATATACAGATGTCTCTAATCTCATTATAGAGAAAATTGTTGTATTACTCACGATGTGCAACAGAAAATTTAATTTTGTATTAATTACATTACTAACTCGACCGATGTTAATTCAGCGTTCATTGATTTTGTTGTTTTAATCTGAGATTCAATCAGATTCTAATTTCTTCCATAAGACCCATAAAAGATCTGTTTCCACAAGCACATTATATATTAGTAAATAATACTGACTATGTTATGGCAACCAAAATATGTCACATTTTTGGGACTACGTATCATTCCTAAATGAAGAGCGTCACACGCTAAAGATGACGCAGACTTCCATTTCGTAGCATGTTAGGCGTGGTGTGACTTTGGCATGATAATTAATTCCGGCCTTACTTAGATCGTTCGGCAGGGTGTTGATCGAGGGCGTCAAGTACTATGCGGATCAACCACGTATGCTTGGCAAAACTTTCTTGAGATTAGTAAGTAATACATATTGTCAATAATTTTTATTAGTACAATAATTATATCAACGTTTGCATTAGTTGAAATTAATTACTTCCTTATTATATCCATCATTATTTATTAATTGTATTCTTTATGTAAGATAAAGTAGAGCGAAATGTTTCTTGAGAATCACATTTGTGAAAATATACAAAGTATAAAGTAAGAGTTTCTGAAAGCAAACACTGTCGAAAAATAAATTTTACGTCACAACGCCAAACGCAGCTGACGTTTGAATCGAATTGTTGACTATAACAAAATGTCATTCCAGGAAAGAGACTTTGACAAGCACGTGGCGTACTGTAGAGATGAACCCGCTGCACAGGAATTTCTTCAGACAAACGACGAAGTACGCGAATATTTTGAGGCAAGTTTTATTATTATAATTGCAAAAATTTACTTTTTTAACTAACTTATAATTGAGAACGTCGCTCTTAATTAAAAATTAATTATTGAACTTTGATTGGCGAAATTGAAACGTAAGATTTAGTTTCCAAATTAAATTGAATTAGTGTCTACATTAAAATGAAATTATTGTGAACTTAAACATGCGAATTATAACATATTGGCATCAATAATGTGTCAATTAAATTTCAATTAAAAATCATAACGAGCTAATATTCCACTTTTTTAAATTATTTTAATTCAAAGATATATTTATTTGCATTCAGATGTAAAATCATAATTATGATATGCTAACTATATACGAGTACTTATAAATATTAAGTATTGAAAACATAAATAATGAAAAAAATAATAGAACAAGAATACAAAAATAAATATAAATTAAAAATTATTATATATTAAAATATGTGTAGCATATAAATATTCTTTTATGCCAACACAATGTGCGCATTACGAGCTTTCATCGTGATTCCATCGTAATTCGATTACTGCGATAGTATAGATTGGAGAAAATGATGTAATTATATAACACGCGGGGGATATATGCGGGCGTGTGTCCAGCCCTCAAAATAGCTGAGTTTATTCTTAACAGACGCAACATCTTTCGTTCCTCTTACCTACAACTGATAGTATCAAGACGCGCGTTATTAAAAAAAAAAAAATTATTTGCCAAGGTCCCGTAAACGTCGTGAATAATATCACATAACACGACTAATTATACGACACTGCAACATCATAGAAAAGAACATTTTCCGTTAAACATATTTTGTTACAAATATACATAAATATCTATTTTAAAATCTACATTCATAATTTACAGGTCTTGAGACGCGAAGAAACTTCCCTTTGACATTACGTTATGTGTTAGGACGGTCACGAGATTAGTCTTGCTTTCAATGAATCTCTTCTTTTCTAAAAAATTATTTAAAGAAGATATATTCCAGATTTTTATCATCTTTCATCTACGTATTTTTATCGCGCTCTTTACGTCCACGTGTTGAAGGAAAAATAGGAGAAAAGAGGGTTCAAGTTCCTCGATTGCTGTGTAAAAGATGGACTGAATCTCCCGGGGACCGGGATGTATCGATGATCTGCGTAATCCTCGTGTTGTTTTCGTGCATGGTCAGTCGCACACGAAACCGTCCGGCGTCTAAGTATAGCCGTTGCCGTATTGGTCTTCCGAGTGTGTTGCGGCAGCGGCTGCGAGCGCCCAAAGATTCCTCCTCAGTGCCGTGGACCACTGACCACCACACCGTGCGTGTGTGAGAATCTTCGCGCAGTCCAGAGAGAATCCGATCTGCGTCTTCTGGACGCAGTCCGTCTGCGAGCACCCTTCGCGACGACCGTCACTTCGACCGATAGCGATCTCTCAGGGTGTTCTCTTCTCATTCAAGGTGCGCGTTTGAGGGTAGCTCGCGTACGCTGTAAACGTACGTTTTTCTCCAAACGATCGCTACTTTCCGCTACCAAAAGTCGCGAGGCGCGTCGCGATGCGCTCGCGATACGTCAATCGCGCGTCGTCGTTATCTCAACGTGCGATGCGACCACGCGCGCTGCGGGGGTGACACGCACCCGCGTTTGCATGCAAAATCCAGTCACACGTCCAAAAATACATGTGTTCACGCCAGATCTTCCTCCCCCCCCCCCGGTGTCGAATTACGTTGTCGGCAAATTCGTTCGTTGCGGCGCGAGAATCATCGTTAAAATACCTCGGTCTCGCTTAGTCTCCGAGAGCGCGCTGTGATTTATTGTTTTTCAAACATTTTTTCTTATCGACGTAATCATTCTACTTTCTGTAATCATTCTAATTGCGCATCATCATGTCTCCTGGGAAAGATTTCCCATTAACATTTGTCTCTTCAAAAATATGAAAATATCAATACTTTAGTGCGAGAGATTTTAAGCTTGTGAATATTACATTTATCATAAAAAGACTGTAAGTGAAACGTGGTTTCAATCTGAGATCAAGATAGATAAGATCTGGATAGATAAGAGTAATAAAGAAATTTTTAAGAATTTTGGTAAAAAATATCATTAATATAATTTAATATAAAAAATTTATTATATATAAATTTTACACAAAAATTGTGTGTTCTATCTGTGTCACAACATTGACAAAACTGGACATTTTAATTATTGGTGCTATCGCTTCGTTTCTTGCAGGAGTTGAGCCAGACTCTAGGTGACGACAAGAGCATATCGGAACATTTGAAACTCCCGATACAACGTATAAACGACTATCAGCTCCTGTTAAAGGTATGTAAAAAAATAAACGTTTTACTTTTATTTCACCATAAAATGTCATAGAGGTCCGTCTCATTATTTTATTACGCAAAGTATTCACGACGTAAGAAATACATCGTTAATTTGTCAAGTTTAAAAGACGTTTTCAAAGAGAATTATTTTCAAATGTGAATAATATAGGAACATATACTTGACGCCTTTTTTTAACCGATGAAATCAGATGTAACAAGACAATCCCAGACAACTCAGTGTGCGGATATACAGCACGACCTATATTTCCACTTGAATTTTATTGCGTCAGACGGAAATAGCGCGGCGCTAAAGCGTTTTCCACTTTGCCTTGAAATCGTGTCTCCTCGACATAATTACCAGCCATTCACTCGAAATAAGTATTACAGATTAACAAGACAATTGTTCGTATCATTCTATTATTTCTTTATCATATAAAAACTCGATATTTCCCACTAATATTTGCCTTTTAAAAATGTAAAATTAATTTAACAGATATATTTTTATTTGTATTTAATTTCTATTGTAATTATAAAGGAATTATTCTGAATTTAATAAATTGCATGTCAAAGATTTTTCAATTATTGCTTCAATATTTGTCGCGATATCTGCC